CCCAGTTCCCTCCTGATGGGACAATTGACAGGACTTGCTGTTGCTTGGCTATGGGAACCAGGGAGAGGGAGGGACACAAAATGACTCTTGCCCTTTGATTTATGCCCTGACTGCTCAGTGAATCTCACTTTAGGTGACCTTTCTCCTGTGACTGCCTAACTTGTCTCACTCTCGGTCAGAAATAAGCTGAACTGGCTTTTCCATTCTGCTCCGGGGGCCTTGACTCCCTGGGTGGATCTCTGGCTGCATCAACACCCACCTGGAGGGAGGGATGTATTAACTCCAGATCTTCTACAAACACATAATTCAGAATCGACTAAAACCACACTCTCTAGTGCTGATTATTTACCAGCCTTGTGTTGCATGGGATGAACTGTGAGAGACAGAATGAGATCTCTCGGCACTCTCGAGGCTGAGGTGGAAGGATCACTGGAATCTACAAGTTCAAGACTAGATCAAGCAACATGAAACCCCATCTCATGAAAAAAAAAAATCAAAACAAAAAAGAAATTATGTTGTAAATACCAATTCCTTTTTAATAAGGAAGTGGCTTTACCTTTAAGTGTCAACAGAGAAAGAGTTTTGGCCCAGAATTTGTTCCTCCTCCAGGTCTGGAGGTATTTTCCTTTGGATGGTTGGTGGCACCACATTGACAAATGGTAGGACATCCAGGTGAGAATGCCCATTTCCTGGTTTTAGACCTTTTTCTGCTTGCTCCTGCAGGTGTGTAAAGTGCACTCCGAATATGGCTCTTCATGAGGTGACTGCCACAGGAGGTTTTTTTCTCCTCAAAATGCTTTTGAAATGGTTTATTAGTTAGTAACCGTAATAATAAACATAACAGCTGCTCTGCATTGAAAGCTGAGAAACTCTGCTTAGCACTTTTTAGATGGATCTCACTGGTGGGTGTCATCCTTCAAAGTCATGTGGTTAGTAGGTGGTGGATTTGGAATCTGAATCCAGCTGTGGTTGGCTTCAAAGCCAGAGCGTGACCATGACCTTGGGTGTCTGAGGTTCCCAGTAACCTGAGATCTTCTGTGGTGGCCACACTCCTTGGTGTGACTCATGATAACCCTCTGCTTTGACAATGGGAGGACATTTGTATTACCTGAGGAAGAAATATGACTTCTTTTTTTGGCACCCCAAAGCCTGAATTTAATTACTTCTGGGTTCAGCATCCCAGGGGTTGCTACATGTCCTTTTGGACTCTTTTTTTTCCCGGTTTTCTTCAGTTACATTAAAGGGGTGCAGAGCAGACAAACCCAAGCATTCACTCAGGGGTTGGAGGGGAGATGAATCCTTTCTTCAACTTTATCTTTCTCACTCCCTCTCTAAGCCAAAACAGATGATTGAGTCATCATGATTGATAAAATAAGAGTCAGTGTAAAGCTTAATGAAAAAAAAAAAAGTGTGATCTAGGTTTGGTTCTACCATGTCATGATTGTTTCTAATGTCTGATTATGGAGGTTATCAAATAAACCATCAGCTGATTTTGTCATGTGAAAGCACAGTGGCTGGTTCAAGCTAGTTACATAATCTGTGTTAGTTGTTGTTGAATCCTGTGTTTGTCAACTTTTTATTGCTATGACAAAGTACCTGAGAAAAACAACTTAAAGGATGAAAGATTTATTTGGCTCATGGTATCAGAGGTTTTAGTCCAAAGTCACTTGACTATATCACTGTAAGGTTGTGGTGAGGCAAATATAATGGGGGAGAGGAGAGGCCATGGTAGAACACAGCTGCTTACCTTGTGGTGGCCAGGAAGCCAAGTATGGGAGTATAGGCAGGTCAAGGGCATACTCCCTTCAAGTAGGTCCCGTCTCCTATAGTTCCCACTATTTCCCAATAATGCCATCAGCTCTGATGCCATCAATGGATCCATTGATAAGTTCAGAGCCCTCAATATTCAATCACTTCTAAAGAGCCCCAACTCTGAACATAGCTGTATTGGGAACAAAGTGGTTTTCGTTTTTTAATATTGCTTTTTAGTTTTCGGTAGACACAATATCTTTATTTTATTTTTATGTGGTGCTGAGAATTGAACCCAGTGCCTCATGCATGCTAGGCAAGCACTCTACCACTGAGCCACAACCCCAGCCCGGGAACAAAGTTTTTCATACACGAGCCTTTGGGGAACATTCTAGATCTAAACCATAACAAATCCTAAATAAGGGAGGTATTAAGCATTCATTCACCTGACAGAGAGATAGTGAGGGCCCTCTGGGTGCAAGGGACTGGGGTGCAAAGATGTTGTTGATGTTTTAAAACTCAGAGTCAGTAGACTTGGATTCTATCACATACTAATTGTGAAGCTTGTGAATTGCATTCTCTCTCTGAGCCTCAGGTTTCTTGTACAACAGTTAGGGCTCTTCAGAGGGCCTACTTCATGAACTGTTCAGTGGATTGAAACAGAGTACATAGAAAACACACAGTGTCCCACAAGTCATCTGTGCTCAGTGAGTGTCACTTGCTATTATTATAGAAGGGAAGACCAAGGGGCGATAACTTACACCCTCACTGGAAGTTATTTCAGTAAGCAGTCAATAAGCACCTGCAGGTGTACTCAGATCCATACACCTGTACACACAAGGGGAGCAGTGGGTTTTAGTTGTATAGAAAGGTGAACATTTACTCTAAAATGATTTCCAGGAAACTAACCAATATATTTTCTATGTAGCACAAATGAGAGAGACAAACCCAGCAACCTGGTTACTCCTGGAGATACATGAGAGAGCCATGATTTCCAGAATGGAGGTGGAAAGGGAAACAGACCATATACCACAGTTCCTGGAGATGAAGATTTCTGTTTGTCAGAGGGGACTGGGTAAGGGAAAAACAAACTTGAACCAGAGGCTTTCAACATCCCTTGATGTTTCCATAGTATATGAATCTCTCTCTATATATATATAAAGGCAGATTTACAGTTTGATGGAAAATATAGACAGTATGCAACAGTACTGCATTAATTGGATTTTACCAATAATAACAATATAGCCAGGGAACCTCAATATAGCCTGGGTAAACCAGGCCACTGCACTGGTGTCCAGTTGAGGTTTGGTGTGATGTCCAAGGCAGAGCAACTGAAGGACACAACAAAGGTCCCGGAGGACACTCCGTGTGGGGTAAGTGGTAACTGGGCCTAACCCCAGAGGTCAGGATGTTCCACCAGGCAGATAGAGCATGACGGAGGAGAAAGGGGAGGCAATACTCAAAGTCCAGCAGGATTGGCAGCTGACATCAGAGAACTGCATCAGCAGGGAGCAGGCTCCTCATCTCTGGACTTAGCTGAATGAAGGGAACTGGCCAGAGCAAGGAGGGTCTTGTATACAGACCTTGAACTCCAGTCCCTCTGAACCCAGTTTTATGGGGCAAGATTCAGGGCCCAGAACCTATCAGGACAACACAGAAGGATCCAAATCTCTCTATATATGAGCTTCCTTCTCTGCCAGTGGGACTCTGCCAGTAGGTAAGAATCAGCTGTCACTTGCAGTAAGCAGTAGAGAGGCGCAGAGGCAGAGAAACACAGAATTCCTATTGGAATCTGCACAGATGATTCCTGCTTTATATTTAATTAGTACTTGAACACCATATTGCTTTACTTTGTTAAAATTTTAATATATGCTATTAAAACAACATCATGTACTTAGCAAACATATGATCTATCATGTTTGGGGCAACTTCAATCTTGTTTACAAATACATGGAAGTCATAAAGACAATTATATATATATATACATATACATACACACACACACACACACACACACAATTTACTTATTTATTTTTTGGTGGTACTGGGGATTGAATCCAGGAGTGCTTTACCATTGAGCTATATCCCCAGCCCTTTTTAAAAATTTTTGAGACAGGGTCTCCTTAAATTGCTGAGGCTCAAACTTGCAATCCTCCTGCCTCAGCCTCCTGAGTCGCTTGGATTACAGATGTGCGCCATGACGCCTGGCTAATAATTTTATATGTCTTTTGCTTCAAGCAAACAAATGGAAGACATTTTATAGTTTTATAGTTTTGAGTTTGCATTTTATAGTTTTGAGTACACCATTATTGTACTGGAAAAGTGATCACATCGGCAACATTCTTTGCGTGTGTGTATCTCTGTGTGTGTGTGTGCCACTCTTTTTCTAAGGAAAATTGTTTCCCAATTTGCAACAGCCACACTGAAAGTTTCTTCCAGACCAGATCTGTTTGGAATACACCACAGCACTGGGTACAGACCTTCTGTAGAAATGTTGCTCAATAAATGTCAAATGAGGCTGAGGGCAGGGAAAGGTTATTAAAGCAAAGCTTCTCCTAAAATTGAAGCCACTGGCCTGGCGCACATCTGTAATCCCTGAGGCTCGGGAGTCTGAGGCAGGACAAAAGTTCAAAGTTCAAAGCCAGCCTCAGCAAAAGTGAAGTGGTGCTAAGCAACTCAGTGAGAACCTGTCTCTAAATGAAATACAAAATAGGGCTGGAGATGTACTCAATGGTTGAGTGCCCCTGAGCTACCACAACCCTCCCCCCCCAAAAAAAAAAAAATTGAAGCCACTGAGTCCAGGGCACTTTGTCCTTGACATCATAACAGACCCAGCTTCCATCAGGTAGAAGTGTTCTCTAGGCAAATGTGACCAAGTCAGTTTGTCATCCTCTTCTCCTTCAGCCCCTTAGGGCTCTCTTCCTGTATTCCCTGCAGGACGGAAAACTATGCAGTGTGTGGAGGAGCTGATTCTATGGAAGCTGTTGTGTGACCCTGAGATTGCACGTGCCTATTAGGATGCCAAATAATTCTTAGCTATAGATGTGCAAATTCTATCCTATCTTGTAGAGGTGCAATTGAGTTCTCTTCCCCACGGTGGAAAAAAGCTAGTTTTGCCTCCTCTTGCACATTCATTTCAATATTCCTGATCTATAAATGTGTCTGTTTTTCAATTTCCTCCCTTGAACCAGATATAACATCTGCCTGGCTCCTTCTTTATGAGCAAAATAAAATCTTTAACATGTGTTCATTTTATATCCTTATGAGTCATGATTTTACCTTTTTTGGGGGGGAAAATTATCTTTTAACGCTACCTTTTTCTCACTCATAGTTTCTCATCCTTCATTTCGCTTTCTCAGTTCTTTCCTCTCTCTTCATGTCTAATGTGTTGAATTCTCTGCAAACCCATGGCTAGCCCAGCTGAGGTCAGTGTCATTTTTACACATAGATCATTGCAACGGTGTCCTAATTGGTATCCTGTCTCAAAACTTGAGCCCCCACCATTTCTACTGTACAGACTCTGAGCTCCTCAAACAATAAGTTCTGTCCTATCCCATTCCTACTAGAGCTCCCCAGGGGTTCGTATCACCCTTAGACCACTGGTCCTGTTAAGAAAGTTGAGCCTTCAAGACGCACTGTGAGCTGGGGTTCCGCTGCAATTCTCAGGAGGAGTTTCCCTTTCCTTCACCTTCTACCCAAAGGTCAATCACAATTCACTTCCTTCAATATCCCTCAATATCTCACTCACTCCTGGGCCTTCGCTCAAGTCTTCCCCTTCTTCCCTGGGCTAGCTCTCAGGTACCTGCTGCATCTCAGCTCACATGTCACTTTCCTTGGGAGGCCTTCTCTATTATTGGTCCTGTTCTTTCCAGCTCTGTCCTCCAGAGGACTGTAATCCCCATGGTGAGAGGACTGTGTCCTTGACTCTCATAATCACCACTGCTAGTGCAGAACTCCAGTGAGCATTTGACAGATGCCTGTGACTTGGGCCTGGACACTGAGCGTGGCCCAGAATAGCAGTGGTTGACTTTTTTCTACTAAGATTTTGCCATGTTTATTAAACAGTAGGCCTGGGCAGATTCCAGAACCATCCTCCTCAGAACTCTCCTTTGAAGTAGAGAAGTTGGGCTGGGATGTAGCTCAAAAGTAAAGCACTTGCTGAGTGTGCCCAAGGCCCTGGGTTCTGTCGGCCTCTGAAATTATAACTAAGGGGGCGCTGAGTGGCTGAGTCTTGCAATTCCAAGTGTCGTTTATGGAATCAGAGCATCAGGGAGCTTGGTAGAAACACAGCCCCTCAGGCCCCATACCTAGACCTCCTGGTAGGATGCCTAGGTGATCTGAATGCACCGTGAAGTGTGGGACGCCTCTCTAAAGGCTCCAAATTGACTTGCTGTGTCATTCTGGGCAAAGGATCCACATACGAACTTCCACAATTGTAAAATGGGGCTGTTACTTTACACACACCTCCTGGGCTATTATGAGATTAAGAGTTGATACTCACAAAGAGCTGAGAATAATGGCATTTAGTAAGAATTTGACAAATACTAGCTCTTGCTAATGCAGCACCAGACTGAGGAGAAAGACACACCCTTAGGACACCAGACACCCGTCAGCAGGGCAAGATGTGTTCTTGTGAACCACTTGCTCCATGATCCAATTTAGAGATTTTCTTGGAGGAGTTTGTGTCGTGAATGTGTGACTGAGTCATTTAGGAAAGAGGCATCTATTTGAGGTCACCTTTGAGCAGGCGACAGCAGGAGCATCTGAAAGACAAGACCAGGCCACCCGGCCTTTCTGTGAATGGTTCTCCATGGAATAGGGAGTCCTGGGAGTTTCTTCCTGACTGCTCCGTCAGTTCTTTGTGCTTCCACATGACTCTCTTCCCTCTTTTCCTCTGTTTCCTCCCTCTTGCTTTCCCTCCCCTTTAGCTTCCCCCTGTCTTTCAGTTCTGAACTTTACCTGGTTCATCACTGGGATCCTGCAGGCTACTAGGCAGGTGGGAGAGCCCCTTCCACTGAGGTGTGAGTGGGTGGTTGTAGGCTGAGGAGAAACCAGAACCAGTCTTGGGGTGGAGGGAGTTCCCACCCCCTAACACTTTTGCTTTCGCTGACGTTTTCTGCAGCTTGGCCCTGGAAGTGTGACTCGAATTGAACTTGAATCATGATGAAGCAAGCTAACATTATCCTCTGTCGCTGGGTGTGGGCAAATGCAGAGCCTACCCTCTGCAACAGCACTTGCTGATCTTACTGAACAGTACTGACTTACAATCACTGAGCTAGGTATGGGGAATACTAAGATGAATGTCCCAGATCATGACCTTGAAGGGATTGCCCCTTTTTCTGTGGGGCCATATGATGTCTGAAAAGCCTAGAGCAGGTCATTTTTCGAAAAGTTCTGTACCACAAAATAAGATGGGGAAATTTGTACGGTATGGACCATTTCATTTCGTACAGTGATCCTGTAACACTTATTTGTCTATTTGCCTATCTAACTTCAAGAACTTTTTTTTTTGAATAAATGGAAACAGTTTATATGTATATATTATTAAGAAACTTGCTTCTTTCATTTAACAACATATCATAGGATTTTTCAGATCAGTATTTATGGTGACACTCTATTCTTCTAAATGGGCACATAATATTTATTGAACTGATGTATCAGAAATTATTTTATCATTCCTCTTCTGTATGTATCAGTGGGACATGTTTAAATATTAGTGTAGATTCAGATTCTAAATATGGACTTGCTAGGTTACCGGGTAAGCGTGGCATAAATTTTAAAGTGCTTTCCAAAAGAAAAAAAAATAAATAAACAGAGAAAGAAAGAATAATTCTTTACCATTTTATATGCCCACTCACATTATATAAAAGTTCACGGTTTTAAAATCAATATAAAGAGAAAAATGCTATATTTTGGATCTTTATTACTTTAGTAGATTGAATATCTTTTTACATATTTTGGGACCTTTATTTTTTATATGAATTCCCTATTCCTGTCCCCTATGTTTTCTTCCTACTTTTTTTGTTTTTGTCTTTTTCTTAGATTTATAACATATTTTTGAATAGTACAACAATTAACCTAATGTCTTATATGTAATATAATATAATATTTTCTCCCTATATCTTCTTTTAACCTGATTTTGCTTATTACTTCATTTTTTGTTGATATACATGAGTATTATTATTATTATTATTATTATTATTATTATTAAATCTGTAGACTTTTCCTTTATGGCTTATGAGTTTTATGCTTGTGTGTAAAGGCTCGACTTCACCCCAAACTTAAAAACCTAAAAAACAGGGCTAGGTTTGTGGCTCTGTGGTAGAACACTTGCCTGGCATGCACAAAGTCCTGGGTTTGATCCCCAGTACCTTGAAAACAAAAACCAACACTGAACATTAAAATTATGGACATAGGATTATTTGGTTTGATTTAGCCATAATACTTTAATAAAAAAAAAATACAAAGGCTGGGGTGTAACTCAGATGTAGAATATGTGTTCAGCATGTGTGAGACCCTGAGTTTGATCCCTAGCAACATCCCCCCATACAGCCACCTAGTGCCTTGAAAGAATAGGCAACACATACTTATTAAATTGTTGAAAGATGTGCTTTTTAAAATTGTTCATAGCTCAATGTTTATTGGTACATCTGTCTGCATGAGTTATGCATATAATGACATGCCTTAAAGGGAGATTTGTTTATCAAAGCCTTTACACACATGCTTGCAATAGCTCTGTGAATATATTACCAAATTTTCATCTCAAAAACTTCAAACTTGGTCTTTTTCCCTCTTGAAATTGGAACTCCCTGTGGAATTCACAGAGCACTTGAGGAGTGGAGACTTTTGTTTGGGGCCAAGAATAGAAGTGGGAGACCAACTCACAATTCCACTTCCCACTCCTCAAGGACCAGGAGGTTATAGACATAAGGTTAGAGAAATGAGGGGGAGGAGAATTCATGTTTATTGTGATAGTGAAATTAGAGGTCATCTGGAGGTCACTCTGGCAGCCACCTTAGACCCCACCAGTCTCAGCTAGTGCACCTGAGGAGGAACTTCTGGGCTTTAGAATCCTGTCCTCAAAGACAAACAAGATTAGGGTGGGGTAAAAATTTAGCTAGTCATCCAGGCACTTCAGGCCCAGGGCTGGCCAGCAAGTATTCTCAGTTATGTCATTTGATCTTTTTTTAAAAAATGATTCTCTTTGTATCTTGTTGTGCAAATGGGTGTATTGATGGAGTGTTGTTCCTGCTTTCTTTTGCTATGGTGTAAGTTTTCTGCTTGCAGGATTCCCCATCTGCTCCTCTGCCCACACCATGTCTAGGGCTGGGCTTCTCTAGTGAGTATTCCCTAATGTTGCCTGGAAATCCAGATGCTGTGTGTTCTGGGACACTGGAGGTCTCCGGGGGAAGTGACTATGAGAAAGCAATGAGATGGCACCATTCAGGGAAGTAAAAATCAATGACGGATGAAACTAGCTTATTCTAGAAACCAGATCCTAGGTAGAATCAGACCCCTCCATGTCTGGTCCTATGGCCCTGCCCACCTTTCCCCAGGTGGCCTTCTGCCAGCTAATCTCAGCCTTTCCTTCCTGGTTGTCAGCTCTGGCAACAAGGGGGCTTTTTAAAGGCAAAGACCTTTTGAATACTCCATGGCCTTCCTCCCTGAATATTCCGAAGAGCCTGGAGAAACCAAATCCTGGACAGTTTCAGAAGGTCTTAGGGCTCCTCCCATGACCTAGAAGTCCAAGTTAGCAGGTGTGGAAGTGGGTAAGACAAGTGGGCAGGTATAAGCAGGACTTCCCTTCTGCCCCTTTGCACAACTTGCTGGATGTATGGCCTTGGTACTCAGCATCCCCTTCAGGGGAGTGTGGGAACCAGTCCTAGCTGTCTCCCACACACTCTGCCTTCTAAATGCTCAGCACAGCCCTGACCTCAGGCAGCTCTCCCTGGGCCAGCGGAACAGCCCTGGGCATTGCTGCCGTGAGCTGTTGGTAGGGGCCTCCTTCTCCTTCAGGTAGAAAAAGTGGACAGGTTGTTCTTCAAAAGGTGACTTGAACTGGTCTGAAACCCGAGGAGGAAAACAGTAAGTTAATATTTCTCAGGAAGCTGCTGCTTCAACCCAGAGCTGACTTCAGCCTTCGCTTTGGCATTTCAGCACGTCCGCTGCCAAACTGAGACCAGCTGGTACAGGAGGGCATTTATTAAGGGGCGGTGTCAATCTTTAAAAATCCTAACAAAGCCCAGAGAAGGCTGAACAAATGGTGGCAGGGTAGAGAGTGGGAAGTTTGTTTGGTTTGAACTCCATTTAAGCACGTCTTTGGGGGTTTCTTTTAAATAAATACTAGGAATCCATACCACTTGGCTGGAATCAACTTCAACAGCACACACAGAAGAGTCTCAGCTCCAAGTAGTGTACTTGAAAGGCCAACAACTCTTGGAAGAGCGATTTCCCTCACCCACCTGCCTGGAGAGGACTGATTTCCATTATTGACATTTTAGCAGGGACACTGTCTCCTTGTTTCACTCAGGAAATAAGAAGCAGGAACTCTTTTAATTAAACCATTTGTGTGTGTGTGTGTGTGGGGGGGTTGTTTGTTTGTTTGTTCTGTTCTTTTTTCCGGTGGAACCTGCTCTGAGGGGAGGGTGGGGCAGACCCTAGGACTTTGCAGGCGGCCAGTGGACCCAGCATAGCAGGCAGGGTTTTCCCTTCTGAACCTGCAAAACAACTTGACTCCAAAGTCACCTTAGCAAAAGTCGATCTGCCTGGAGGAAGAACAACTTCAGAGATTCCAGGCACAACTTCTCCTGGAAATTCACAGGTGATAAATGCCCCCCAGGAGGGCCTCCCTTTTTCTTTCTTAGCATCTGCACTCAGATTTAGAATAACCAGCAACATTAGCTAGAAGGGAAAATAAATAAGTTCAGGAATTCAAACTCCATTTCCTAATTTACTCGAGAGCCTGTTT